GATTAAGACTTTCCTTTTTGATAAATCCTATAGTTTAGGTTGGCTTGTTATGCTGCTATAGACAGACTATTGGAGGACAAATTGACCTCATTCCTTAAATGAATTATTAAAAATGAATAGTTTTCATTTGATACTATTTCTATCTTAACATTTTATTCTTGACCTGCCATTGTGTATCTGTTCCTACCAAACCCAGCCGGTCAAAGCAGATGGCCACTTGTCCTGAGCCTGGTTCTGCTAAAGGTTTCTTCCTCATGAGGGAGATTTTTCTTTCCACTGTCGCCTTTGTTCTTGCTCAAGATGAGAGTTCTGCGATGGAGTTAAACTCAAAGCTGCTCCTCAGAGAAATAGTGTTAACTTATTTTTTATACCTGTTCATGTGAATGTTTCTGCTCAGCGCCCTGAGATGACCTCTGCTGTGACTTGGTGCTATGGAAATAAACTGAACTGAATTTGTTGGGTTTTTGTCAACTCACCACATCAGGTGATAACTCACAGAGCTATTATACATGATGAGAACTTGCTACACTGTTTACCATCATAGATAAACGCGTTTCGATAAATAAATAAAATGTAAATAGTCCTAACCACGGCCCTAAACTCCGTCTCCTTTTAATAGATAAACTGAATCACATTTTTACTTCCTGTCGCTGTAAACCGAGCACAAAATCTAATCATATTTTAAAATTTTCTTTATAATCCCAGCACTAAAAGTTAACTTTAATTTCATACACTCATTCCCAAAACTTCACTTTAATTTTAATTATTTTCCTTCTTTTTAGTGCTTTCACCATTTATACACTTGCCGTCGTCCCAGTAACACTAATCATGCCGTAAATATTCCCCCTTACCATCTACCTCAGTATACTTATTATTTTTCCCTCTATTCTTTTGTTACATGTGCAGTTTTTTATTTGTTTTTTTTTTTTATTGAAAGTTTTTTTGGGTGTTGGGGCGGTGGTTGATAGTAAATCTCATCATGTTAATATTATGATGAAAAGTAATTTTATTTTTCATTCCATCATCATTATTTAAGCAATAATCATGAAGATTAGCTAGAATATATACATGTTGCAAACTGGTGCTTCAACATCCTGCATGAGAAGCTTTATAATAATGATAATATTAATAATAATAAAGACAAGAAAAACAATAAAACTCCCTTTGTCTCCACTAACATAAGCTTTTAGATGCACAGAGTGTCGACTCCCGATGATGCGTTTGAGTGACGCTACATGATTTAGTCTCCATCAAAACACAGCAGATCTTTGATATTCCTGAAGCGACATCATGCATACATGATAACACGTATGAAATCTGTGCTGCATCAAAGCAGCTCCACCGCCGCTCCCATATTTGCTTATTTCCTCTTTTACTCGCACATGATCCGATCTCAGTTTGAGCGCGTTGGGAACTAATGAGGCGGCTCTTCGCTCACCCTGCACTCGTGCAGAACGCTCCAAAGTATCGCAGCAGAAACGTTTTATTTTGGAATGTGACGGGGAAGAAAAACAGGAAAAAAGAAGGAAAAGCTCATTGTGAATGGTTCTGTTAGACCTGTTGCTTTGGGGTTACTTTCATCCTATTTTGGGGGCAACAGGAAGGAAGGGCCGGGGGTCGGTGGCTGGTTTGTCAGGAGGGTAAAAAATTTAAAATGTGACTTCATTGTTGCAGGGAGAGTTTTCTAATCTCTTATTCACAATGTAAATCCCTATTTCTTCCTGCAAATATTTGAGTTTTAGTTTCTGATGTATAAAGTGATAAGAGCCCCTTAAGTTGCAGCTGTTTGCAGTATTGAGAGATGTCAAGCTCAAAGTTTGATTCTCACCTACAACTACATCCAAATTTATCCCAGTATCTGTTGAATTGACCGATTCGTCACCATCTTTGTGTTTTCTAAAGTGGCAGCCATCTTGAAATAGATTGACATCTGTTTTTCGTATTTCCTAATTCGGTGACACTATGGATGCTCCGATCAGGTTTGTTTCTGCCTATCACATTTTTTGATTTACTTAAGATGAAAATCACCTTAATTGGGACAGAAACATGTTTTTATTTACTTTTTTCAAGACAAAGAACGTAAAAAAAAACCAAAAAAACTTGCAGGCACAGCAACTATTCGGTCAAAAGGAAAACTGAAAAAACATTTAAATTTACAGGTTGAAAACATCGAGGCTCTCAACAGGCTAAATAGTGCTGAAAGTCAAATAAATCCCAAAACGTTGCTTAAATACTGTATATAAACCACCGCCGGGCCTCTGCAGGCTGCAAATGTGATCAGTTTTTGTGATAGGCATTGATCGGTATCGGTCGATCACATACTTTTTAACAGAAATCGACTGATCTTGATCGGTGGCCGATCAATTGGAACATCATACTTACAACATATAATTTCACCAACGTCCATGCTCATTAATCCAGGCATAAATCCAACAATGTTCAGTCAGGTCATCTGGACGGTTTATTTTAAATGTATACATATCTATCTGTATATATGAAGTATATACATATAATTTCTCACAAAACATCATGAAGGCAGATTTACTACAGATGTGTTGCTAAAGAGGCTTGAGCTGAGACTACAGTAAATAATTATTTTACGATCAGCCACCATTAAAGGCATGAGAACAATAATGTTTGTCGTGTTAGCAAAAAAAAAAATCAGATTATGCGCACCTGTTTTTAGTAAAATTGCACAACAAAGTATAAAATCATGTAAAATGCAAGTGTCTACGTGAGATCAAATCAACAACGTGGACAATGAAGGTGTCATGTTTTAAAACAAAATCAGATTGTAAAACAGAATTCAGGCCATGTAATCTGGTTTAAATCATCTTTTGTGCAGCTTTTCTTCAAGAAACCTGTAAAGCCTCCACAACATTGCAGCGTGGACGCAATGACTTTCCAAAAAGGAAAAAAGTCATACAGCGATCATGAAAATATATATCCTAATGCACTTATAATAAAACTAATAATAAATCTGTTGCATGGCTAAAAGTGAGACTGTTTTTTTTTTTAATGTTTTGTGGCTCTGCTGAAGAGGATGTTGTTGAACATGGCGCCATCTTGTGGCTTCTATATGAACTACAGTTTGACAACATCGGATAAATGATCATTTTTTTTAACCATATGGCACACAGTGGCATTAAGAAAGACAGATAAAGATGAAAAAGTTTGATTAATAGTTCATGTTTTAAATTTTAATTGATTACAGTTCATATCTGGGACATTTGTTACAGCACAGTTGAACAGGAATTACTTATCTGTCGGCGCAGCAACGCTGAAAATAAAAGATTACGCTCCAAACGATGCTGCTGCAGGCGCTCTGTGCAGTTACTGTTCATACAGGTTCAGGTAAATATAGTTTATATCAGACTTTGTATGAGATATGGACAAACAAGTTGATGAAAATGTTAAATTGGAAATTCTTGATGCGATCACTTTCTGCTATATTGAACTACTTGGTGGGGAAAATGTCAAAACATAAATATACAGATGGGACAAGAGCAGAAGATTTGTAAAAACGTTCTAGTTTTTCTTGGGAATTTTTATATTAATTTAAAAATGCAGCGTTGAAATTTTACATGGTGAACATTTCTTATAAAGGCCATTAAAGTTAACGGCTTAAAATGATCAAATTTTCATTCATGTCTTTAAGATGCCAAACATTTTTGAACAATGTCTAATATGATATAATGATTAATTTAGCATTTATTCAAATATGTTGTGGATTTAGGGAATTGAGTCTTTGGTTCAGAATCTCATATTTTAAATGTAAGCGTTCTCCCTTTTTTTTTTACAACTTTACTTAAAAGCTTATAAAAGATTTTTTATTTTATTTTATAAAACATAAAATGACGCTTTTGAAAGGTTGCTATACATGTCTTTAAAGATTATATGTCATTTTCTTTTTAAAGTACCACAATCAGAACAGCTGTACACTCTAATAACCGCTGGGTTGGGCCGAGCCAACCCTGGGTGGTTTGAACTTACCTGGGTTAGTTTATCTGTTTGACTCAGCATTGTGGATATGGTTTTCTGATTTTGTTACGATGATTAATTTATTGAGTTAGAGAAAATAAAATGTTGAGATAAAAAGAACAATCCAACATTAGCTTCATTATATAATTATAACCTGGGACGGTGTGAGCTAGCTGGCACCAACTAATGTATTTTAGCAACCCAGACTCATTGTTTTGCACAAAGTAAAGCTGTTAACAAAGCTAACCAGGCTGAACATCTTCTTAGAAGTTACTGTCGTACCTTTACACGTTACATTTTAAGTCTTGTTCAGTTTTTTCCAACCGGTTTTAAAATGGTGGACTGTAAAGAACGATACAGCCCGTCTCCAACCCAAACACAAACTTAAACTGTTTGACTCGATATTTGACCATTTCACACCAAGTGATGAGCAAATGGCTTCAACCCAGCCGATGAGTTATCAAAAGAACCGGCAGTTTTTCAAAGTGTAGATGAAAGGAGCAGCGCAAGTACAATTTTGTTCTCCATTCTCTCTATTTCTCTGTTTTATTCTAATATTTGACTGAAATGTTGTTTGTTTGCAGCTATGAAGTTTTTATTATTATTATTATAAAAATGTAGTGATTTTATATCAAATGTTCTTGATTTTGTGCCCCACTGCTGTGATTTGTCCTTATAGTGATGCCTAGTGCCAGCAGATTTTTTTAATTTTAATTTTTTCTTGGGCACTTCAGAAAACTTTTGAGACTCTTAAAGCATTTCAACTCACTCAAGATGAGTCATGAGTCTTCATCTGTTGATTTAGAAGTAAAACTGTGACATTTCTGACAATATGGTCACGTAGCTATCAATTTACATAGAGGCCTCGCCTACCTGAATCATTTCCATCCATGAGTGCCTCCCTCTGTCCGATAAGCTACTGAGGGCATAGAGCCGCTAACTCTAGCTAACGTTTTAATTTCAGTTTACCTACACTCACTTTGTGTCCCTCAACAGTGCAGAGGAGGGGGGGGGGAATCTCAGGCCACCTGCCAAACTGACCACAAGGTGCCTAAAGTGATGCTGTAGGTCACCATGGCTACTAGGTAGACCCTGAAGAGCAGCACATCCAGCACGTAGCCAACCTGGAGCCACTCCTTGGCCACTTCCCGACGCTTGTCCCTCTTCTCCAGGAAGTGACGAATCGCCGTCACCTCCTGGAGGATGTTGTCCATGACGGGTGGAGTGCTGTCCCTGGACGGGGGCAGGCGCAGGCCGAGCATCCCGCCTTCTCTGTCCTGCTGGCTGAGCCTTTGGCCTATTTCACAGGTGTGGTGGATGGAGCACTGGGCTGCGGGACAAGGTACAGGTTCCGTTTGGTTGTTTTTATCACATTAACACTGGAAATCTCCTAAAAGTTCAAAGCTTCTTCGATATTGTGCTATGTATTCATTCGGGATAGCAAGATGTCGCAACACTGTGGTTACTTCTGTATTCTGGTTAAATCAAAATCAGACAATTCACTAAATCTTCTAACCGTTCGTGTTTCCACAAGCCTTCATACCTGCTGTCCCGTAGTTGTTTTCTTTGTAGTGCTCCAGCTCAGAGGCCTGTGAGGACAGCCGGGAACAGAAAAGGTGCTTTTTGTGGATGCAGAAGAGGACCGGAGCTCTTTCCAGGATCAGGTACTTCACCCAGTGGGGCACAGGAGGCTGCAGGTCCTGCTTGTGGACCAGTCGTACAATCAGCACGGTTTCTGTCAGGCTGATCACCAAAAGGGCCATGCAGACCACAAAGTACACACCTGCAGGACAGGTAGGAGACATGACTCATTGTTAGAGGTAAGTACCGTATTATCCAGCGTATAAGTCGCTCCGGAGTTTGTTTTTTTGTTTGTTTTTTGAACAGACAATAAAAAGTAAAAACAAAGAAAGAGAAAAATAATAATAATAACAAATAATCATGCCATATGACGTGCAATTTGACACAATTTGTTCAAAAAGGAGCAGGTAGAAGATAAAGATCTTATGATTTCTTGTCCCTGTATAGTGTAAGTCGCATCAGTCAAAAAAAAAAGCATCATGAAGAGGAAAAAACATAAAAAAGTTGCATTTATTATGCGTTTATTTAATTTAAAGCAGCTTCATTTCGCCTGGGCGACGCAGTGACATCCATCCATTGAGGCCGGAGCCACTAGCTCCAGCGTTCCTCCGCCTGCACCAGCTGAGTGAAGCGAGCGCGCACGGGAGGACTCGCTGGTGCATTTCTTAGAAATTTAAAACGTCAGTCAAAAATTGCGTTTTGAATATGGAAAAAAAGGATATAAGTTGCACGACTGACAAATTTATGCAAAAAAAACTGCGAGTTATGTGCCGGAAAATAGGGTAGTTGATCTTGCCTTGTCTTTCTTAATCATTAAGTGCCTACATGGCCTATCTTTTGATTTCCACGTATTTGTAACGTGCATTATTCATACTATGTATGAACGTTATAAATCCCGTCACCTATTAGTGGGGTTCCTATAGCAGTGGCAGGCAGAGTGTCAGACACAATGATGAGGAAGACGGAGTAGCCCAGCAGCAACGTGATTTTGAAGGAAACCCTCTCTCCGCTGTCTGGTGGCAGATAGAAACCAACGACGTCCATCACCATCAGGAAGATGCTGGGCAGCAGCAGATTCACGGTGTAGAACAGCGGCCGCCGCCTGATAACCACCTGGGAAATGTAGTTTGATGTCAAGTTTAAATATTGTGAGTTTACGGAACTTGTTTCTTTTCTAAATGCGTTGCTAATTAACTCTTTGATTATCTAATAAATATGCAAACAACGATGAGTGTGTTGATCAGATCAGCAAAAAAAAATGTTCTTACATACCCCAGACTGCTTAGGCAAAAACCCAACAAAAGAGGTATAAAATTAAATAAGAATAAAATAATGTGGTTCTGTTTAATTGGCACAGATATTAAAAATTAACTTCACTCACAGTTATGCAGAATGTGCTGTATGGATACCCTCAAGCCCAATTCCAAAAAAAAGTTGTGATATTGTTTGAAATGCAAATAAAAATAGAATGCAATGATTTGCAAATTTCATTATCTCATGTTTTATTCACACCGGAACATAGTAATCATGTCAGATGTTTAAGCTAGGAAACTTTTACACGTAACACAAAAACACATCGCCCAGAAAAAGTTGCAGAGGCAACAAAGGATTGTAAAGTAAGTGGTACAGATAGGAAACATCTGGAGAAGCATTTTGTAATTAATTATGTTAATTACTTAAAGGTCAGTGAGAGGACTGGGTATACAAATACAATTAAAAAAGGCTGAATCTTCAATTCAATTCAGTTCAAGATACTTTATTAATCACAAAGGGAAATTAAATGTAGCTCGTCATCCTGGTTTCATTAAGAGTTGTTATACGCTGACGGCTGTAGGCAGGAAGGATCTCCCGCAGCAGTCCGTCCTGCAGCAGTCCGTCCCGCAGCCGTCCGTCCCGCAGCCGTCCGTCCCGCAGCAGATCTAAAGAAACTGGCTGCAGATGCCGATCCATCCACCTGGACCCAGCAGGCCTCTCTGTCCTCCTGGACCACATGAATGTTGGGCAGATCTCCTTTCTGTGAGCGATGGCCACTCCTCCCAGCAGCTTCTCGTCATTGCAGACAGCCAGCTGCAGGTGTCGGGTATGATCCTGGTCTTCTTTTTGTGAGCCACGTTTCCTGCCAGCTCCAGGATTTCAGCAGTCAGTCACTTGAGCACCTCTGCCAGGTAGATGGAGATGCATCCACGGCGCCTCCTTTACAACTCATTTGGGATTTGGGGCAGTAGTTGAAGCATTATTTGAAGTTTCAGATGTTAATCAGCTGCTCCCGGTTGTAAAAACCACCTTGTTGTTCTGGTTATGCATTATAACAAATGTCCAAAAGTAAAAAGTTTTCATTAAAATCCTTCCAGATGCACAACATCTGATACCAGAGGAAGTAATCATCCGAAAAAAAGTCATTTACATCCAGAAAAAGAGGAAATAAAGTTTTCAAATCATCCCTGAATGAAAGTAACAGCTACTCCAACACGGAGTCACCTTGAGCAGAGCAATTCTATTTCGATTGAAATTCTTGTTCCTTCGTGGAAAGTTGGGAAGATTTTGGATATCTCATCTGCAGTTCTTAATATCCCCAAAGGATTTCAAGGATCTTTCAGAATCTCTAAGCTCAAAAGGACAAGGTTGAAAGTCACGATCGACGCCATGATTGTTGGACCCTCAGACAGCGCTGCAATAAAACCAGGTCTGACTCTGTTCTGGACATCCCTGCATGAACTTAGGTACACTCCTACAAATCATTGTCTGCTCACAGTTTACTTTGCCATCTGCCAATTCTGATTAAAGCTCAATAATGCAAAGAAAAAGCCACGCATGAACTCCGGTCAGATACACTGCCGTCTTCTCTGGGACAAATCTGACTGGAAACTGACTGAGGCAAAGTGGAAAACTGTTCTGTGGTCAAACAAATCCAAACCTGAGATTATTTTAGGAAACAATGGATGCCACAACCCCCTTCTAAAGAGGAGAGGGATTACCATATTTTCCGGTGTACACCGCCCTATAAGTCGCATCAGTTCAAATATGTCTAATAAAGTGGAAAAATCCATAAATATGTCACTTCGCCATATATGTCACATCTATTACGCGTCACCGCTGACCACCCGGAAATGTGGGCCGGTGTTGTGCCAAAAATCAATTGGCTGCCAAATGGTGGCCGCGAGAGTGTGCACGGGAGGATTTTAACAAGAATGTAACAAGATTAGCACTTAAAAACAATTGTTTGTTTGCTCGACATTATAGCAAAGAAGTGTCTCAGTTGAACTTTTACTTAATAAATGCACTTCAATGGTCAAATCAGCTTCATTTCGCCGGGGCGGTGCAGCGAAATGAAGCTGATTTGACGTTTGCTCCAAGCAGCACGCAGAACAAAGGTATCAGTCTACGGCAAGCTGGCTGTGTCATTAATAGCCACTTTTACCTATTACATAATACAATGGCATGCCATATTACTGGAGTGCCATCTAGCGGCTGAAAATGGTAGTGTTCAATATTTTCAGTCAGAATGAATGAAAACGGTCATATCTCAGCCAAAAATAGGTTTATAAATGTGGGGGGAAATCATAAATACGTTGCTTCGACGTATAAGTCGCAGGGCATGCAAATTATGCAAAAAAACAGAACTTATAGGGCAAGAAATACGGTATACGAGCTTGTTGTTGGCACACAGTTCAAAAGCCGGCCTCTCTCATGTTATAGGGGTACGTCAGTGCCCAAGGCTTTGGCATCTTACACATCTGGAAATGCACAGAACAGTTTGTGCATGTTTTAGCAACACGTGCTCCCATCCAGCAAAATGATCCACGACTGTTGAAGAGCAAGAACTCCAACAAATGGTATAGGCATTCAGTTTTTGAGATTTGTCGCTTCCACCAAAATTAAAAAATAACCTTTTAAAATTGGTACAATTGCTTAATTTTAACATTAATGTGTTTGCTATACTCCATTATGAATAAAATATGGGTTTATGAGATTTACAAACCACTGAATTCTGTTTTTATTTGCGTTTTACTCACCGTCCCAAATTTCTCCGAATATGGATTGCAATGCATTGCATCAGTTTCAACACGACGTGGTATCGCGTTACGTTTTTTTCCTATCTTTTTTAACAATATTTCTGTTCAATGTGATTTAAATGACTTGCATCACTTATTTCAAACCGCACCCCAAACTTTTTTTTTTTTTTTCCCGCACTCACGTGGAACTTCATCTCAGCGTAATAGTCGTCATTGTCGACGCTGAAGATCTTGTAGTCGGAGAGAATGTGGAGCAGCTCCCACTCTCCCTGGTTCATGAAGACGCTCTTGTCGTCCCTGAGCTTCTCGGGGCTTCTCATCAGTGTGATGTTGATGTCATCAACTGCAGATCAAACACAACACTGGGAGCAGCGTGAAACCTCCCTGCTCTCTGAGCTCAGCTCACAGCAGGACAGAAGTGACGGGCGAGTCAAAGAAAACAAGCTTCTGCTTCAGGACCTGGAGGGATTCGTGCTGCTTTAAGCTCATGTTTATCCTCTTGTGTGTTATTGAGGATCTTTGTTTTGGAAAATGTGCATTTCATCTTGCAATGACTTGAGCAGTGATCCCTCTCAAAAAAATATATTTTGTGGCAGTGAGAGAATGAAAATAACTCTTACTGGTATGAAGCCAGCTCTGGAAGGTGAGGCTGCATTTCTGGACATCAAATGGGAAGTTGTAGATGTTGAGGGTGCAGGCTGTGACGACCTGGATGGGTTTGTAGTTTCGCACCAGACCTTCGTGCGTCACATAGACGTAAGGGATGTCAGGAGACTTCCCCACATCTACGCTGCAGGTTGGAGACACGAATAACACAATCTGTTGGTTTAGTTTGTCAAAAGGCCGGAGTCGACTCTAAAATCCTCCCAGGAGCTTCTTACAATTCATTGATGAGGATGTCAGGAACCCAAACGTTAGCGGTGGGTATGGAAACTTGTTTGACTTCATCAAAATCTTCTGGACTCCACACCAGGAATTCATCCGTCCAAGACTGAAAATTTTAAATAGAAATCATGTAAACACCTAAAGTTCATTTAAATAAACTATTATAAAATGTATTGGGTAAGCCAGGGGTCTGCAATCTGTGGTTCTGGGGCCACGTGGCCCTCTGCAGCGGGCCTTTCAAGCTTTGACCAAAACTGACATAAAACAGATTTTTATTTTACAAACAAAAAAATAAAGCTGGTTTTAGCAGTTTTCAGCTTTTTGGTCATTTCTTTTGCAAATATGTGAATACTAGAACTAATACAAGAAGTAAAACATACTCACTTTAACTTTATGCTTTATTTCTATACTTAATTATTTTTCTTCCACAATTAAAAAAAACGCATAGGTCTGCACAGTTCATAGTTTATTTGAATGAAAAACATAAAAAAAATCTGTTTTTTTCTTTTGTTTAAAATTGTAAAAATATCAATAAATGTTAAAAATCATTAGATATTTTTAGCTTTATAATATGTGGCCCCTACTGTCCACAAAAAAAAAAAAAAAAACCTCCAACAAACCTAAAGTGGTCCACGGACCACCACTTGATAATCACAGTTGTTGCAGCTCTGGACACATTTAATTTAGTGAACGAAGGAGCAAAAATGGCTCTTTTGATTGTAAAGATTGCAGAACCCTGACTTAAGCTACACAAGCAGGTACACCAAATTTTTGTTAACAAGAGAACAAGTGTAAAAAATGCATCAAATTGAATGATTTTGTTAAAACTTGATAAACACACTCTATGAAGTAAAATTAAAAATGCATTAAGGTTAGTTAGATGGACTTCTTACCTGTCTGTACCACACATATGTTGTCAAAACCTGGTTCTTCTCATCCTTTCATTAAAAAATAAATAAATCAGTTATTTTACATGATCTTGGATTATGCTGCATCACAAAGTAAGAACACTTTCATTGGTCCAGAGTAGGAATAACACATTAATCAGGTCATGTCACAGTGATATTTTAAAGTAACAAGAACTTGTTAAAAACTGCACAGTCGGATAATAAATATAGAAGACAAAATGCACACTGTGGATGGTGAAAAATGTTTTTGCATGCCTGAGCAGCAGCGACAAGAAGCTGAAACGTGTGAAATGTGCAGTGGGACCCACCACACTGAGGATGGAGTAAACCATCAGGTCTATGGCCACAATGGTAGACGTCCTCCAGTCCTTCACTGGTCTCACTCCTTTCTTATACCCCGCACTCAGAAACTCCGAGAGCCGCACTAAAGTGGCGTTGGCAAATCTTCCAGTGCTGCTGCCCAGCTTCTTCACTGAAAAGTTGCCACATGTTTAATGAAAACTAACAGAAAGAGGAAAAAGTATTTGCACTCTATTGTCAATGTAAATCTAGATTACCGGAACCGGTTTAACGATGAAAAACTGATTATAATTTGGATAAAATTGGTAAATAAAACCATAACCATTTTTTCATTCCTTTTATGTAAAAAATGAGGACTTAAATGCAATAAAATAATTGATTATCCTAAGATAACACATTAAAAATGTATTCTTAAACAATTTTTAATACACTGCTTAAATTTTCTTGTTGATGAAATTGTAATTATTCTATTGCATACCTTTTCCCTATAAATCAAAACTTATATATATATATATATATATATATATATATATATATATATATATATTAAATTAAATCAACTTATCAATTAGCATTTTATGTATATTTTAAAGCACTGATGTTTTAATTTTATAGTTTTAAACTTTAAAACTTTCTTCACTAAACTAACTAAATAATTAAACAGCTAATAGTAAAACATTTAAAACGTGTAATCTTAAACTGATTTTACTTTAATTCCAAGTCATGGACAAGGATTATTTTATTTTGTTTTGTTTTTAGAAAAGCTGAATTTAAAATAATTTAGGAAACTTTCAGAAACGTTGTTTTATTCTAGCCTCATCAATTTTTCAAATGAAGTAAAGCAGAACTTCGTAAAAGATGGACAATCATTGTCAAACAATGGCTCCGATTCTTATAATTAGATAAACAGAACATGCCACTAGCTGTCAGTGTGCATGGAAATGTTTGAGACTTTTTTTTTTGCCATGAAGTTTGTTTAAAAAATATAATATCACCATTTGTTGACAAGTCAATAGAATGCAGTGTACCTGTGCACGTTGTGGATGCTCCATGAATCAGAAAGTAAAGAAGTGCTGTCCAGCCTGATGAGAGTCTCATGGTGTCGGTCGACCCGTGTTCTGCTCTGCTGCTCCGACGCTCTTCCTTTTGCTCTGATGATGGGCCTCAGGATGCCTGACGCCCCTCTTCTCCATGTCTTTCAGCTGTGTGCATCATTTCACTCGCATCCAATTTGGAAACCTTGTTAGCGTTGCTGGTGCACCCATCTGCTCTGATGCCACTCCTCCTCGTTGAATAAAGCAGCACCCAGATGAAGCGGAAAGACTCGGGCAAGGACGCCATGAGCGGATCATATGTCATGTTTTGAGAAATTATTTAACTGGAGCTGCATGACGCACCGATTATCAGTCGTAAAGCTTTCAGGCGAGAGCGTTCTCTTTCCTGCAGATGGCCAAGTCTACATATTTAATAGGTTGAAAGCTACATTTCCTCGTGTTTTATTTGTAATGAGTCAAAACAAAATCTTCATTTAAGATTCCGTTTGAAATTGGGCTCAGTTTTAATTCATTATCTGGAGCAGGGACGTCAGTTTCGTTCGAAGCCGTTCAGATATGCAGTGCGTCTTTGGTGATTCGACTGCAAGTGGCCAGCATTGATCGATTGCGTTCACACCTGGCAGTTAATGAGTCGACCTGCTAGAAGTTATTACCTGCTCTGCATGCAGATACACAAACGTCATGCAACAAGCTCTCAGATCAGTGACGGCAGGTTTTCTGTTAAAATCACAATATTTTCAGAACTGCATTTTTATTTTGACATTAACACAGAGCCCTTTACTGTAAGTCACATTTTTTGGTATCTCTTTATAAGCTGTAATCTTAATTACAAGCAGGCAAAAGATAATGGATGGACGGATGGATCAAAGGTTAAAGCTTCACGGTGCGGTTTAATTAGGTGATTATAATGTGACATACAACGACTTTCAGTCAGGTCATCTGGACAGTTTCGGGGGGTGTTTGAGACATTTCGTCCTTCATCCAAATGACTTCTTCAGTCTGAAGAGCTACAAACAAACTGGAGTCCCACAAGCACCGCACTCCCATAGTGGAAAAAACAACTGTTTGTTGGCGCTAAGATGGTTTCTGGGGCCCACCCTCTCCCCCGTCAATTCCTCTAGGGGCGCCATGCCAAAATGGTTCAAAGCCCAAAAGTTCATGCTGAAGAAGTTCTTTGGATGAAGTCTGAAACGTCTCAGCAAAAAGAGAAAACGTCCAGATGACCTGACTGAACATTGTTGGATTTGTACCTGGATTATTGAGCACGAACTTTGGGATAATGCAACATAGCACTCGGGACATTACAGGTTCCTGGGACCACAGCGGGCACAGCCAATCTGGAAACAATCCGAACAAAAATTAAACTGGAGCAAAATTCAACCACTTTGATAAACACAAGCACAACGGATGTTTACACTGCAACCGATTACGATGAACAGTTCATCCAAAACACAGGGAGTAAACTTACACAAAGATTTGGCAATTGTTCTAAACCGAATGCCTTTCCTGACACGACCTGGGCTCAAACTTGCAGCTTCAGGATTACGAGATTGTGGCAATGACCACCAAGCAACCGCAGCCCCAATAATGGCTCTTTATTATTCAATTAGCCAACAAACTTTCTTTTTCACCCCAAGATGTCCACTTTGCTGCTACTGCACGACCCCGTGATCCGAGCAGGAGGTCATAGATTGAAGATCAGGATGAACTATGTTCAGACTATCAAGCATTCAGGGATTAAAGGGATCCTGATCACCTCGGGTGTTGACGTCTAGAAGTTATCTCAGAAAATGTTTTCTAAGCATATTGAGGCCATTCAGACTCAGTCCTGTCTGTTTTGTGAGTACATCCTGATCCTTCTGTGTTTGTTTTGCTGCCCTGTTAGCTCTTTGTTTTTATTAACAAATTCTTTATTTTATATATTTTATATGTCTCAGGAGGACGTTGAAGACGTTTACATATTTGGAATTATGATCGCAGGGACTCTGCTTTTTGGCATCAGTGGGGCTCTGTTTTATCGACGTTTGAAGAAGACGTGGGCAGCAGTTTCGGCCATGGCAAAGCTTCCAAGTCAGTGTTAAGGTTTGGTCCGTGCTGTAGGAACCCTTTTCCTATCTAAGATTATTATTCTGATAAGGATAAGAAAGGCCACGCTTAGAGCAGCAGCAGCAGCTTCAAGCACTCCGTCCATCTTCCGGACGACTGCATGTAAATGTTCTCGTTGAATCTCGGTGCAATGATAATAAAGCTTATTCTGATTCTGATATGTATATATATATATATATATATATATATATATATATATATATATATATATATAT